CCATCCATCCATCCATCCATCCATCCATCCATCCATCCTTCCATCCATCCATCCATCCATCCATCCATCCATCCATCCATCCATCCATCCATCCATCCATCCATCCATCCATCCATCCATCCATCCATCCATCCATCCATCCATCCATCCATCCATCCATCCATCCATCCATCCATCCATCCATCCATCCGTTCCATCTGTTCCAAAGTAAGGTCGTGGGGGCAGCTGCTTGAGCAGAAAGGACCAGACATCTCTTTCCACAGCCACCTCTTCCAGCTCTTCTGGAAGGATTCCAAGGCATTGCCAGGCCAACAGAGAGACATAGTCTCTCCAGCATGTCCTGAATCTTCCCCGGGGTCTTCTCCCAGATGGACATACCCAAAGCACCTCCCTAGGGAGACACCCAGGGAGCATCTTTACCAGATGGATGCCCAAACCACCTCAATTGGCTCCTCTCAATGTGGAGGAGCAGCAATTCTACTCTGAGTATCTCCCGGATAACTGAACTTCTCATCTTATCTCTAAGGGAGAGTCCAACTACCCTGTGTAGGAAACATTTCAACCATCTGTTTCAGCTATCTCATGCTTTCATTCACTACCCTGGGCTTGTGACCATAGGTGAGGGCAGGAACTTAGACCGACAGGTAAACAGAGAGCGTTGCCTTACAGCTCAGCTCCCTCTTCACCACAATGGACCAGTACAGAGTCAGCAATACTGCAGATGCTGCACCAATCCATCTGTCAGTCTCATGCTCCATTTTCCCCTCACTCGTGAACAAGATCCCAAGATATTTGAACTCTTCCACTTGAGGTAGAACCTCACCCTCGACCTGAAGACCCACCCTTTTCCTATTGAGGACCATGGCCTCAGATTTGGAGGTGCTGATTCTCATCCCAGCCACTTCACACTTGGCTGCGAACCGCTTCAGTGATAGCTGAAGATCACGGCAAGATGACACCAACAGGTCCACATCATCTGCAAAGAGCAGAGATGGAATCCTGAGGCCACCAAACCAGAATCCCTCCGCCCCCTGGCTGCACCGAGAAATTATGTCCATAAAAGTTAAGAACAGAATCAGTGACAACGGGCAGCCCTGGCCGAGTCCATCTCCCACCCTGAAGGGGTCCGACTTACTACCAGCAATGCAAACCAAACTCTTGCACTGCTTGTATAGGGACTGAACAGCCCGTAACAACAGGCCCCAATCCCATACTCATGGGGCACCCCCCCCCCCCCCCCACAGTGTACCCTGAGAAATACGGTTGAATGCCTTCTCCAAGTCCACAAAACACATGTAGACTGGATGGGCAAACTCCCATGACCCCTCAAGGAGCCTGGTGAGGGTAAAGAGCTGGTTCAGTGTTCTACAAGCAGGACAGAACCTGCATTGTTCCTCCTGGATCTGAGGTTCAACCAATGGTTGGACTCGCTTTTCCATTACCCTTGAATAAACCTTACCAGGGAGGCTATGGAGAGTGATGCCCCTGTAATTGGAGCACACCCTCTGGTCCCTCTTTTTGGAGGGGAACCAGTGGCACTGCCCCCGATGTCCACGCCATGTTGCAAAGGTGTGTCTGTCAACCAAGACAGCCCCACAACATCCAAAGCCTTAAGGAAATCATGGCAAATCTCATCCATACCTGGAGCCCTGCTACTGTGTAGCTTTTTAACTACCTCGGTGACCTCATCCACGGTTATGGACAGACCAACTCCGAAGTCCCCCAACTCCGCTTCATCTAAGAAGATGTGTTGTGGGATTGAAAAGGTCTGAGAAGTATTCCTTCCACCTCCCGATGACATTACTTGTTGAGGTCAACAGCACCCCACCCTCACTGAAAACAGTATTAGTAAAGAGCTGCTTCCCCTCTTCAGCCTCCTGATGGTTTGCCAGAATGTCTTCAGAGCTGACTGACAGTCTTTATCCAAGGCCTCCCCGAACTCCTCCCACATCCACGCTTTAGCCTCAGCAACAGCCAAGGCTATGGACAGCTTGGCCCTCTGGTATTCCTCAGCTGCCTCCGGAGTCCCACCAGCCAACAAGTACTGATAGGACTCCTTCTTCAGCTTGACAGCCTGCCTAACCTGGGGTGTCCACCACCGAGTTCAAGGATGGCCACAGCAAGTAGAACCGACAACGTTGTGGCCACAGCTCAAGGCAGCCACTTCAACAACTGAGTTGCAAAATATAGCCCACTCAGAATCAATGTTCCTTGCTTCAGTTGGGTTGCAGTTAAAGCACTCCCGGAGGTGTGAGTTCAATATCTTTCTGATGTGTTCTTCTTCCATGCGTTCCCAGCAAATCCTCATTACACATTTGGGCCTACTGGATCTGTCTGGCATCTTGCCCCACCATCTGATTCAACTCAATACCAGGTGGTATTTCCATTGACAGCTCAGCTCCTCTCTTCACCCGAGTGTCCAAAACAAACGGCCGCAAATCAGATGACACAACTACAAAGTCAATCATCGATCTATGACCTAGGGCAACCTGGTGCCAAGTGCACTTATGGACACTTGTGTTCAAACATTTTTTTTTGATGGACAAAGTATGACTAGCACAACAGTCCAACAACAGAACACCACTCAAGTTCAGATCAGAGAGGCTGTTCCTCCCACTCACACCCCTCCAGGTCACACTGTCATTACCCATGTGGGCATTGAAGTCCCCCAGCAGAATAAAGGAGTCCCCAGCTGGTGCACCTTCCAGCACCCCTGCCAAGGACTCCAGGAAGGCTGGATACTCTTAACTGCCATTTGGCGCATAGGCACAAACAACCACCAGAGCCTGTCCCCTCACCAGAAGGCGCAGGGAAGCTACCCGCTCATCTACCGGGGAAAATTCCAACACACAGGCACCAAGTTGGGGTTGCTAAGAGTAGACCCACACAAGCTTGACACCTCTCACCATGGGCAACTGCATAGTGGAATAAGGTCCAACCCCTCTCAAGGAGATTGGTTCCAGGGCCCATGCTGTGCGTTGAGGTGAGCCTAACTATATCTAGTCAGTACCTCTCAACCTCACGCACAAGCTCAGGCTCCTTCCCCGCCAATGAGGTCCCATTCCATGTCCCAAGAACTAGCTTTGGTAAGCCAGGGTCAGAGCGCCAAGGCCACCGCCTTTGGCCACTGCCCCTGGCATCATGCACCCAACTTTTGTGGCCCCTCCTGCAGGTGGTGAGCCCACAGAAAGGCAAACCCATGTTGCTCATTCAGGCTGAGCCCCACCGGGCCCCATGGGTAGAGACCCAGTCATCAGGCGCTTGCCGACGAGCCCCTCCCCAGACTTGGCTCCAGGTTGTGGCCCCGGTAACCCACATCCAGGCAAGGGACACTGAGTTCCTTGTTCTGTTTTGTCCATCAAAAGTCTTTAGAATCACTTTGTCTGTGTGTCACCTAATGCCAATCTGTCTTGGAAGACCCTACCAGGGGCAAATATAATTGCCCCCGATAGCTTAGCTCCTAGGATCGTTCAGGCGCACAAACTCCTCCACCATGATAAGGTGGCGATTCAAGGACGTGCTTTTCAAACTCAAATGTAAAATATTAAATTGAAGATTTATCAGTTTATTGTTGTTATTCCACTCTTAATGTTTTAAGTGTCAGGATATAGTGGGGGGGGAAAATCATTTTGCCTTTTTCAGGTATTAAAATGATTTAAAGGGCTTATTTTATATTCAGTGACAGAAAGGAGCCTGGGTCAGCCATGTGCTCAGTTGATAGCATTCATTCTAACTGTGTGACTCAGGCTCCAATGTATTTATTATGCGTATCATACATGCATGGCCTCGATGGGAACCACTGGCCTAACATGCATGTTTTTAGTCTGTGGGAGGTAACAGGAAAACACAAAGAGAACATGCAAACTCCACCCAGAAAGGCGGATACAACTGGCAGGGATTCGATCCAGTGATGTTCTTGCTGAGAGGCAACAACTCTACCAACTGAGTCACTGTGCTGTCCCAACATTGACCAGTTATAACAAAATACTGTAGTCAGAAATTATGTCAAACACTTCTAGAATCATCACCAGCTGCATTGCACATGAGTTTTAAACAAAGATGATGTTAGCTTTTAGCATTCAGATTAAAATTGATTGAAGTAACCATTTATTGTTTGATATGTTTGATCAGCTGTGGCAGCATCTAGTCAGGTTGGCTCCAATTGTTAATCGGTTGTATGTACATCCAGTGATTTCCTTCTGAAAGTTTTATTAAAATTCCTCCATTGTTTCATGGGATATATTGCTAACATGCAGATAAACACATGCACACACAAACACAGTCAATTACATTATCATCCATCTTTCACAGTGACCAGAAATAACAACACTGCTATATCGTTAATAGTTATTTTTGTTCTGATTGCAGATGCCTGTGATTTGACTCTGGACATCAATACAGCTGGGGCAAATATAATTTTGAGCTCAAAGAACAAAATAGCATCATTTTGTGATAAGAAGCAACCATATCCTGATCATCCAGACAGATTTAAGCTCCTTCAAGTGCTGTGTAAAGAGAGTCTGACAAATCGCCATTACTGGGAAGTTGAGTGTGACTTTGAGGCTGATGTAGGAGTGGCATACGGAAGTATTGCCAGGCAGGATGACTGTACAAATGTCTTTCAGACAAGTGAAAAATCTTGGTGTTGGAACACAAATGGAGTTTTTTTTCACAATGGTTCCTGTCAAAAGTTTTTGGTGGACCAAGCAAACACAGTAGGAGTGTATCTGGACTGGCCAGCTGGTGTATTACTGTTCTTCGATGTCTCTTCTGGTTCTAAGACCCACCTGTATACTGTACACACAATGTTCACCGAACCACTCTATCCTTGTTTAAAACTTGAGCTGGGAACCTTAAAGCTAACTTAACATAAACTTAAGACATTTACAATGGCACAAAAATTGGATCAAGCCAAGTATGATCACGGTATGTGAGTTTAATGTTGTTTTGACCTAACAAGTTTACTACATTACTTTTTACCCTTACATAATGTAATTTTAAATTTGTATTTAGCACTGGAAATATTTTGTACTTTTGAACATTTTGTTTTTTTTAATTTCCTTTATATTCAAACATGTGGATGACCTGGACTTCAAACCGGTGTTCGTATAACAAATTCTACTTTTCTATCTTCTGTTACAAAACACTGCAGGGTTTTTTGTTACTACATTGGATTTCTGCTACAGATGTTTATAAAAACATGAAAATAAAAATAATTCTAGTGGTTCATGAGATATTTTGCAGACAGACAGACAGGGTTGATGCTGAAAGTTAATGACCAACTTTCAAGCAACGATGTTGATCAAAGTGTAGAGCTCAGAGTATGTGTTGGGAATAACTCCCATGACACCATACAAGGTTTTAGCCTTATGTAAAACTGACTGTTGGAGTCATTTTTGTCCCCCCCCCCCCCCACACACACACACAGAGATATTGGCAAAAGCATGAATGCCTTTGTCTTTGGCAGCAGGTGATGATCAACTCCAATTCAGAAATGTTGGATTTATAATGCTTTATATTTATAGTCCATCCTTCAAAATAAATAATAATTTCTCAAATGTGAGGAAAGATGTTAACATGCTGGCTGTGGACCTTTACTTGCTGTGACGTAAATAATTCAAACAGAATGCAGATGGTCTTTGTGAGGACTTTGGCAGCATCAACACACAGTGCTTTCTCTGTGAAAGGGTCAGAGGTCGTGGAGAGTTCAGAGGATGCACAGATCTAATTGACAGTTGTGGTGGTTTATTACATCCACGGTCCGTACGCACTGACGTGGATTAGTTGTCAAGAATTTAAACAGGATTCCATCTATTTTAACCTTTTGTTTTTAACTATTGATATATATTGATTTGTTTTATAACTTTGTGTCTTGCAAATATTTGAATTATTCTGTTGAGAATTGATCCTAATTTTCATTCAGTTCATTTTTTACTACATTTTCCTTAAATAAAAATACTGTATTTTTTGTATAAAACTCTTTAAGCTGTATTTGTCTTTAAAAAGTGCATATTTTATATATTTACATGGTGCATATTTACATTCTATTACATAATTTTTTTGCAATATATATGTGTATAGGTGTGTGTGTGTGTGTTTCTTATAAAAGTGATAATAAATGTTTCATATGGATTTTAATTTAGTAACTTGTTTTTATTGGATCCACATTTCTGCACACATAAAGGTAAGAACTAAATTATCCACTCAAACTCGCATCCAATGTGTTGACTATATTACATTTATAGAACTAGTAGTGAATCTTGTATGATGGACACATAAAAATACAGACAGAGATCTGAGTATTTGAACTAACCACAAAATATCACTGCTGCAGTTGTTAGTTCTGTAATCTAATCTAAATTCAGAGAGAGCTGTTTTAAAGGGTAACAGGATGTGGTGCATGCAAGTTGATTTGTCTGTATTTTTGTAGCATTTTGTTGGCTTCTGTTGAGGAGTGAAAGGTGAAAGGAAGAATTGGAAATGCCCTCCATTCGTCCATTTGTCCATTCGTCTATCCGTCCTGTGCATATTGTGAGCATGATAATTAGAAAAATAAACGAGATACCAACATCCGTTTTGGTGTGTGGCTGCATCTGGGTGTAAGAAAGTTTCTTTTCAAAAGGTGGGTTGCCAGGTCAAAATCCAAGATGGCCACTGTCATATAAATGTAAACCTTGTGTGCTGGAAAACTTAAAATATGCAACAAATCAACTTCCATTGTACTGTGTGGCTGCATCAAGAAAGGTTTCTTTCTAAAATGGGGTTGCCGCTTCAAAATCCAAAATGACCACCACTATATATATAAATAAATGTGTGTGTATATAT